TTCCATAGCAATACATTTATGACAATTTTCAAAGACACTCCATAAGCAAAGGTCACTGAGGCCTGGCCAACTGCCACCTACGTGTCTTTAAAAATACACTTTTCCAAGCCAAATTAATGTAATACAGCACATAGCAGCCATAAGGGTAGCTTTTCAGTTCTGAAAGTATCTTGTTAGTGGGGCTTTATTTTGCTTTTATCACAGCTGCTCATAATGAGGCAGGAAAACAGAAGGAAGAAAATTGTGTCAAAAGTGGACAGTAGAAAGCAAATCAGAAATTAAGTCTGAAGAGAAAGGAAAATGGAGAGGAGGCTGCTTGCTTCAAAGAAGGATGCGCCCAGACATAAAGGCAGCTGAAAAAGAAAAAAGCATGCCTAAAATGGTGTATCTTCAAATACAATTCATGCTTAGCCGGTGCAGGCAATTTCTAGTCAACTTGGTCTTGAGAATTACCATCATAACTTTTTTAACTGATAAACCCTCTGGAGTGGGCACTCCTGACAAAGGCATTTGTCTCTAGCCTTACTCTGCCTGTTGATCCACCAGTTCCATGTCTGGGCACATGCAAAAGGCCTGTTATGTCTTCCCACTGAGCTGGCATCAAACTGTTCATCTTCTTTAAATGAACAGACACATGCTGTCAACTTTCTGCACTAACTGCATCAGCTTTATGAACTCATTTCGAAATGTGTGCTAGAAGAGCATTTTCTATAGTATCTTCTATTCATGAATGAAAAAAGGTAATTCCTTTGTATCAGAATATCATCATCAATAATTCCATCACACCAATGTTCTCAGGTGGTTTCAGGTGAGCATATAAAAGCAAAATCCTCAATCTTTGTATCTATTAATACACCTGTTTGCTGTAACACCTGGAACCAAAGCATACGCAACTTCTCTCCATTGTTTCTGTCCAGTTTCTATGTGTATTTCACTTCTATCAGTAAACCAGGCATTTGTCTTATTTCATCATAAGGGGAAGGTTCCTCCCACATCTCCAAGGGGAAGAGTCTTCCCTAGTGAGGGTGTGTGACTGAATAATACAGTTCCTGTAAGATTGATGTGTGTAATAGTTACATGTGGTTTTCCTGGTAGAAATAATTGCTGTAAATAATGTTTACACTTCCAGTTTGTGGCTGCCTGAGATGTCCTGCATGGGCCCTAATGGAATCATCAGTAACAACCCAAGACAATATAAGATTTCTAGCCAGTGTAGTATTAAGTGCTCCAATGAAAATAGTCAATTAGTTCTAGAAAATAAAGTCCAGATGATATTCCAATATATATATTTTCTTAAATTGAGTTAAGAAAGCTGGAGAAGGAAATGGGGGCACAAAAGAAAATCTGTTCAGGGAGTTGATGGTATATATTGTGTCCTGGGTTCAGCAGTAGCAGTCATTTTTCCCCTTCTTGGTAGCTGGTGCAGTGCAATGTTTTGACTTTCAGCTCGGGAACAGAGCTGATAACAAGCGATGTTTTGGTTTGGCCAAGGACTTTGTGAGCCTCATGCTCTGCCAGGGAGGAGGGGAAGCCAGGAGGAAGCAGAGACAGGACACCTGACCCAAACTGACCAAAGAGGTATTCCATACCACAGCACGTCATGCCCAGGATGTAACTGGGGAGTGAGCCGGAAGGGCTGGGGGACTGCAGGGTTGGAGGAGGTATCGGTCAGAGCTTGGTCGGGCTGGGGGGCGCGAGTTATCGGTCGGCTGGTGGTGAGATGTTGTATTCTCTTCCCTTGTTATTTCCTTTATCATTATTATCATTGGTGGTAGCAGTAGTGATTTGTGTTATACCTTAGTTACTAAACTGTTCTTATCTCAACCCGTGGGAGTTGCATTCTTTTCGATTCTCCTCTCCGTCCCTCCGAGAGCAGGGGGAGGGCAAGAAAAGGGGGGAAGTGAGTGAACGAGTTACCTGACTGGGTTTAAACCACGACAGTTCTTTTTTGGCGCCCAACGTGGGGCACGAAGGGTTGAGATAACGACAGATTTGACTGGATTAATAGCCACTCGTCACAATGCTGATTTATTGGCTCTCAGAGTTGTTTCGCTTGATCTCACAGCTTCAGAATGTTGTAACTTACGTAGAGCCGGTATTTGCTGTGTTAGTGTTTATCAAGTATGGGGCCTGGGCTAAGGTTCTTGTCTCACTGTGCTTTATGGCAATGGGCTTGTAATACGGGCGGGCTCCAGCAGCAGGGTGGGACGGACGTGGCCGTGGACTTGTACCTGGCCGTCCGGCTGCTCTTCACCGTCCTGGCCCTCACCCTACTCTCCATCTTCGTGAGGCTGCGGGGAGCCGAGGGGGAGCGGCCCCGGGAGCCGGCGGCTGCTGAAGCGGCCCGGGAGAGCGGCCCCGGGGACCAAGCGGCGGCGGGAGCGGGGCCGGAGGCCGCGAGGGGACGGCTGCCGGTGGAGGAGGTCGGGGCGGTCGAGGAGCAGAAGGAGGCGGCTGCAGAGCAGCGGGAGAAGGCGGCGGAGGAGCCGAGCACCGCGGAGGAGCCGAGCCCCGCGACGGCCGAGAGCATTTCCCGGAAGCCGCCCGCCGAGCCCCAGGAGGATGCAGGAGACCACGCAGCATTTCCCAGCAAGGCAGAGGAGGAAGAGCTGCACTCAGGAAAAGAGAAGCTGGTGGTGGGAGAGCCGGCAAGCACAGCAGCTACACCAGCCCCAGTGACAAGTACAGCAGCATCGTCTGAGAGTGCTGAAGGTTTTGAATGGCCTTTGGGTGTCCTTGGGACCTGCCTGCTGATTGTGATGGGGATCAGCATGTTGGCACACACACAGGCTGTGTTCTACCCACAACCATTTTGTCTGATCTCAGAAGTTAAGCAGAGTCAGGTTTGGGTCTTGTCTGGGGTTAGACGAGGATATGGGGGGACCAAGAGGTTTTCCCCAAGGCTGGACAGCCAGGAGTGGCAGGGTGTGTGTGACAGTATGGGCAAGTATCTAGTCCACTGGGCCCCTCCAGTGCTTTGGAAGCGTCGGAGATGGAAGGCAGCTGTATGGAGTCCCCAGCAACAAGCTGCAGAAACTGCTGAAGGGGACAGTGAATTATTTTGAGCCTGGTGGGCCCAATGCACTTCAGGCCATCAGAGAGAGATGCAACACAGAGATGGACTCATGATCGAGGGGTGGACTTAGCAATGGACACTATTGCCCAGGTTATTCACGAGTGTGAACACTGCACACAGTCTCTCCTGCTCTGGAAGACTGTTACAAGAGATGGAGCCTGACATCATGGACCAAATGGACACAGCAGCTTTATAGGGACTGGTCCATGCACTAAGATAAGAGTGATGGTATATTGAAAACGTGGGATCTGAGCATGACGTGAATGGTATGGAATAAGGGGTGGATAATGTCCTGGGTTCAGCAGTAGCAGTCATTTTTCCCCTTCTTGGTAGCTGGTGCAGTGCAATGTTTTGACTTTCAGCTCGGGAACAGAGCTGATAACAAGCGATGTTTTGGTTTGGCCAAGGACTTTGTGAGCCTCATGCTCTGCCAGGGAGGAGGGGAAGCCAGGAGGAAGCAGAGACAGGACACCTGACCCAAACTGACCAAAGAGGTATTCCATACCACAGCACGTCATGCCCAGGATGTAACTGGGGAGTGAGCCGGAAGGGCTGGGGGACTGCAGGGTTGGAGGAGGTATCGGTCAGAGCTTGGTCGGGCTGGGGGGCGCGAGTTATCGGTCGGCTGGTGGTGAGATGTTGTATTCTCTTCCCTTGTTATTTCCTTTATCATTATTATCATTGGTGGTAGCAGTAGTGATTTGTGTTATACCTTAGTTACTAAACTGTTCTTATCTCAACCCGTGGGAGTTGCATTCTTTTCGATTCTCCTCTCCGTCCCTCCGAGAGCAGGGGGAGGGCAAGAAAAGGGGGGAAGTGAGTGAACGAGTTACCTGACTGGGTTTAAACCACGACATATTGTCACTATGCAACTGCAGATTCAGAACAAATAAATCCAAAGTAGCACACTCCCTGGGACTGAGGAAGGAGTTTCTTTCTTCTCTAGCAGGCTAAAGCAAATTCTCCCAGGACTTTGAGCTAAGACCATTTAGCAGAAGGCATCTTTTCTGTCAGAAAAAGCAAGAAAAAAGGATCTAGTACAGCAACGTCCTTACAGTCTCTTGCTCCTGAGCCCTCTTCAACTCTTCTTTCTTCTGCTGATAGGAAGGCAAAGCACTTCCTGTCCCTGTGAGTCCATAATGCACCCTGCTTATCCCTAAGGTAACAGCAGGCACCTGTGATTATTCTTCAGACATTTACAGCTAGGAATCAGTTGAATAGTGTATTGTGGAAGCATAAGCTGCACTGGACATGGTTTAGAATCTGTTACATTTTTGTCCATCATGACAATGCCCCCCAGCAATTCTTTCATGGAAATTCTTCTAAAGTAGTAGTTGCTCCAAATCTTTGTCAAGTTTTTATATCACGGAAGAACAGAGATGCAGCTAAAAGAACATTTACTCTAAAATGACTACTCTGAATTATGCAAGCTGGTATAGCCAGCTCCCAATTTAATTAAGTATACGCAGCACCACTTAGTGGTGAAAGTGTAGTCAACACGGATAAGAATGACAAGTTTTCACACCGGCCCCTCTCAAGACCCCAAACATGAACTAGGTCTGGTCTGTCTATCCTCGCTTGCCAAATACCATTACAATGCCTTTACTATAAGAAAAGTACATCTACCAAGTGGAAGCACAAGAGAGCTGAAGCTCAAGGCCAGAAGAACCAAAGGCTGTTGAGAATCACACATGGTTTCTGGTTACATAGCCTGAAGGCGTGTTCAAACAAATGATGCAGCTTAGGATCTGAATCATAAGATAGACATGTGCCAAAACCAAATGCACATGGACCAAAACCAAACACAACAGATGTAGAAAAACTGAAGACTGACAGAAATTGAAAAATAACTATTATTTTTCCATTCCATCAACCAGTTCTAAAACTATCCAACTTGTGCACTTACATAACAGAACACAATAACTAGCAAAAAGAAAGCCTTTTATTCAGAACAGACTGGTATGTTTTTTACAAAAAAGTCATGATTCAACTTACAAAGTCAGCATTACCATTAGCAATGTACCTTTCCTGACAGTGAAATCCTTGCCTTTTATCAAACGTCAACTGCAAGAGTGCAAAAATAAAATACCCAACAACCAACCCACACCAAGCCCCACTGACACCCATATCCCAAAGGCTCTATTTAGAATATATACACAATATATGTACACACACTGTATCAATTTATACTTCAGGTCCTTCTCCTCCAGGAACCAGCTATAAAAGAATAAGACAATTTTATGTTAGTACCACAGGTTTCAGTTCTACAAACCCACATGTTCTTGCTTTACAATACTTTGGCAGATGAAGGCTTTATGGTAGACCACAAAAGGAATTTTTAGATCCAATATTATCTTCCTCTCCAAACAGAAGTAGTCAGTCGCTGACAGAGAAGCAAAGGCCAAAAAAAATCTCCAGAACAGGAAGAATGTTTAACAAAACCTAAAGGAGATCCTAGGGAACAGACATTTGGATTTTGTCTTTGTTATTCAATTTAAGGAGATGATTCTGTCTAGAAACACTACAGCTTGTTTTTAAAGACAAAGATTATGCTTCCTCTCATGAAGAATTTCTCTAATTGTTGATTCTTCTCCAGACTGTTGCTATACCGGTAGTTTGTTTTCCTCTTTTCAACTCCTATTGCTAAGCAGAGCCCAAAAACTAAGAAAGAGCCTGAACCCTTTCACAGATAGCAGGGAGTAGCACCTTCCTGCAAAGAAAGTAAAGAACTGAACAACAGAAAAGGAAAAACATTAATAAGGGAAAAAAGAAAGAGGATAACTATTCCTTTTTATACATTCTTTTTGAACAATTTTAACCATTCCTTTTCCTTTTTTATATATTCTTAATAATTAGCTGATCATTTCTAACGACAAAGACCTTCACTGCTTTGGGGAGTGAAGTTAAGAAAAAGTCTAAAGTCTTCCTGATGTGGGAAGATATGTCTCTGGAAGAGACATAAGATCTAATATAGAAACACATCTATGTCTTGCTGAAAACTTGCACTCTAAGTCACCAGCTTCTGCTTCAAGGACATTGTACCACCAGCTTAACTGGGTGATAATAATTCCACCCCATACAAGATGTCAGAACGTGCACAGTCCTTTCAAGGATGCAGAACAATAACCAAAGCAGAAAAAGGCTTTGAAATTAAGTCAAGATGGCACTTGCTCAGGTGCAAGGAAGATTAAGACAGCAAAATGGAGATTCTTCTTCATTTATACAGAGCTGACAGGCTCGACAGACTTCCTCTTCTCTTCCCACAAAATTAGCAATGCCTTTATGTAGGAAGTCCACATTTTGTAGCCATTTATGCACACAAGCAAAAAACTACCGTGGGTCTGCTTTTGTGGTGCTTAGGAAATTGCAGAATTCAGCAACTGCAGAATTACAATATTCAATTACGGTTTCAGTACTGCTATACATACATAAGCACATAATACACTAAAAAAATCACAGTGGTTCCAGTTTGGTATAATCCAACAGATCTCCAGATTTTTGTTTTTCATAGCATGTAAAAGGTACAGCTCTGTGGGCATCACATGCCGAATGCCTTAATGAGCTTGTACGCATTCAAACTTCTGCAAAAATATTTATACATGAGATAATGAATGTAGATGTATTTCACCCTACATACTTTTGCAAACGCTCATGAGTTGAAAGCCACTGTACGAACCAGCCTACAGTGAACAACAATGTCAGCAATTCCCTTGCACACCTGAAGACCAGAAACCTATTCACCCAAATAAATTCAGGGCCATGCTCTCTTCATGTTTACTGTACTATGTACCAAGAAAAGCAGTAAGATTGCTTTTCCAGCACTGTTCACACACATATATGCCCTGAAAGCTACTTGAAAATAGCTTATGTCATGGAACTATCTGGAAAGCTCAGCTTGAAGTGGTGGAACTCAACTGTTTTATCGATTCACAGATACAGAAAATAAATGCATGCAGCCTTTTAGCAATGACAACTTACCATTGTTATATTATTTCCATTTAGCAAAATCTGGTCTAGCTTCGTGATTCTTCTGCCCTCAGGTGTAATCTCACTGAAGTAGCATTAGAAAAAGTAAGTAAGAACACATAACAAGGGACAACAATTACAGTTTTAATTGCAGAACTGATATAAATCTCTGCATTAAGATGGCATTTGTTGGAACTAATAGATAAATTAGCTACACTGCAGCACAATCTTCATAAATTGACCACCTGGACAGAGACAGCTTCCCGGCAAATAAAAAGATCCATGGTACTTTTCTGCTCAGTACATAAAGATACCAATTTTACCTTCTAAATCTCAGCAATTTCTTGAATACCACCAATATTCTGAATAGGTTTCAAATTACAGTGTGGCTTGAAAAAGTAATGAATATTCACCCTTAAGTCTGCCACCTTCTCAGATCTTTGCCCAGACCTTAAGGAAATGTGAAAGCAAACAAACTACTGGAAAGTTCATCACACAACCCATGCAAAATTAAGGCTGCAAATTAGGAACCTGACTACAACTATAAAACACGCAACAGCTACTCTGTGACATGGCTGTCTGAAATAGATCACTCTCTACAGTTTAAGTGCAAGGTATAAACTATTCAGCTAGCAAATTTCCAAAATATAAGAACACTTTGCTTACAGGTCTTGCACAGGATTTATCTTCAGGAAACAAACCACTAAATAGCAACTAGAGGCAGAAATAGTACTTACAATTCTGTAACATCTTCTAACACCATATCTGAAAATCCAGTTTCAAGGAAAATAAGGCCCAGAACTTTAAAATATTAAAGTATTTAATGTTATTTTTATTTTATACTGAACTGTGATTTTATCCATAAAATAAAAATATAAGAATAACACAATTAACCCAGACAAGAAGGCTCTATCCAGTGAACTCAAACCTCTCAAAAGCAATATATAAATTGAGCTAAAGCATAAAGCAGATGGCCTTAAGCACTTGCACCAAAGGATACTAACAAAGTCATCAAATCCTAGAAGTGTTCCAACGATTTCTTTATCACTCTTCATCACAATATGGATGCGTGAACCTATGCATTTGTCCACAAGCTCTGTCAATTAAAACAGACAAAAGATTTGACATGTACAAGAGATCATTTTATAGAATGCACATTTTTTAGGACAAACCCCCTGACACTGTGTTGGCAAATAAGTGATTGCCATAGACACTGGTGAAAAAAAACCAAAACACAACAGAACAACAAAAAAACCCAAACCAAAACACACACAAAAAAAATAGGGAAAAGATTAAATCACAGAATCAACTAGTTGGAAAAGACCTTGAAGGCTGGACCTCAAACGCAACCATTACCCCAGGACTGCCAAGGCCACCGCTAAACCATGTCACTGAGGGCTTCATCTACAAGATTTCTGAGCATCCCCGGGCAGCCTGTTCCAGTGCCTGATCATCCTCTCCGTGAAGAGATTTTTCCCACTATCCACTCTAAACTTCCCCTGGAGCAGCTTGAGGCCGCAGTCTTTTGTCCTAAAAAGACACTAACAATGCATATTTGAAGAGTCTATTCGCACACTCTGCTGCTAGCAGATAAACTACTTCCCGAGGCAGCAGGATGAACGCTGCAGGAACACGCTCCTTCCTGCCGCCAGTGCGCGGTTCCTTACGGGGGGACGCCTGAGCACCAGCGCTCGTCCCCAGCCACGGCCCAGAGGATCCCCTAAGCGGCCCCCAAACGCCGCTCTCCACCCGCCGATACCCCCCGCCCAGGGCTGAGCAAAGTAACACCCGCCTGACGAGAGAGGCTTCCACCGCGCTACCCCATTCAAACCTCCCGCCAGGCCGGAGGAGCCTGCAGACGGCCTCTCCCTCCCTTCCCGGCAGACGGCCGGCAGACGGCCGGCAGACGACGCCTCCCCCCCCCGCCAGCTCCGCCCGGACACCGCGAGAGAGTGTAAGCGTCGCGACGGCAGCGCGGGTTACCAAGCGGCAGGAGCTGGGACGGGTTGGTGGTGGCGTTGGCTGCCATGTTGGATCCAGACAAGATTAGGCGCTACCGTGACGGGCCGCCTACGGAAGACGGCCTATAGCAGCCTTGACGAGCGGACAGCAGAGCCATCGCTCGCCCCCTCTGGCCGTTACCCTCTGTTTCCTCCTGTGTTCTAAATACCGGGAGAGTTGCGACATACGAGTCTGTTACAGAGATTTAAAAGAAACCCCCTTTTTTCCCCTTCTGTCTTCTCCAGCCGTGCACAGACGCCTCGACCTGTCCCCGGTACAGTTGGTACACGAACAGTCTCCCGGCCCCGGCGTGTTAATCAGCGGTTCAAATCAGTCGTCTTTTGGTTTGGAGTGGAAGGGGTTTATGTGCGGTGTTTCGTAGCTGTTGTATGGGCTGTTTTTTTATTTTTTATTTTTTATTTATTTTTTTATTTATTATATTTCCCCCCCTAGATTTGCTCATTAATTCACAGAGTCACAAAATGGGTTGGAAGGGACCTTAAAGATCCTCCGGTTCCAACCCCCTGCCACAGGCAGGAACACCTTCCGGTAGACCAGGCTGCTCCAAGCCCCGTCCAACCTGGCCCTGAACACTGCCAGGGATGGGGCAGCCACAGCTTCTAGGGGCAACGTGTGCCTGGGCCTCACCACCCTCACAGGGAGGAACTTATTTGTAATGAAGTGCAATCAGAGAGAGATTTTTGCACAGGAGAGCTGCAACAGGATGGGTTTTCGGGAGCTCTTTTGCATATTCACAGTTGGCTTTGAGCAAAAAAAAAAATACTCCATGGGCTGTTCAAACATGCTTAATGTTACAGCATTAAATAAAACTGGCATTATTGCTTCTGGAGTCATTGCAGTTTTTGTGATGGGGCAGACTCCAGAAGAGTTGAGCCTGAGCAAACTCCTCCCCTGAGGAAGGCGTGCTGCCTGCAAAAACGTGTGTACCTGTCAAAGGAACAAATTCTGGCAGAGCATGGCTGCACGCTTGGTTCTTAAACGTGGTTAGTTCCCAGGTTAACACTGAACACTTGCATGTTCTGTTCCTGAAGTGGAACACCACGTCTGAAATCAGTGGATGCTGCTGTCCTGCTGGACTCCATGCAGGCGTGCTTTGCTGTAACCAGAGCAGAGATGAAGTGCCAAGCCTGCCTCACTGTGTATGAGGTTCCAGTTGGGGTAGTGATAATGGCTGTGTGAGCCAGCGCAGGAACATTCACAGAACCATGGATGAAATGGAAATCAGAAATTAGTTTCATTACCTTGCCAACCAGGGAATCCTGAAAGCAGCATCTGGGCAGAGGCACACAAGCAGGGATGCAGGCACTGCTGAGCTTGATCCATGCTAGAGGGTCGCTTATTCTGATGTTTTGTGCCTGTTTATTAGGGATTCACGCAGGCTTACTTGCACTACTGTGCTTCAAATTACTTCAGTAATCTCAAGCACATCCAGTAGGGTGCCTTAGTCTGTCAGAGGCCTGTATTTGAAGACAGATGTTCTACTTGTCAAGCACATAAGTCAAAACAACAGTATGATATATATTTGTCTACAGCCCAAGTGTAAGTCAGTTCAGCATGTTTACAATCCTGCTTGCCTTATTTCAATCTTCCCTTATTCTACACCATGTCTGAAAATGACCAGCCTTTCTACCACACCAGTTTAATCTCTGTCCCCTTGTTTTCCAAAGCCTGTGTTATTTCCATGGTGGTCTCCTGGCATCATCCATCCCAACATATGGCTCTGGATACACTTTGACTTTCTTCCAGCCTGCAGCTAATGAAATCTCCCTCTTGCATCCCTGGAAAAGGGTTTGTGTCCAGCCAGATCAAGTCCTTGGTGGTTGTCACTGCGTGACCTCATGATCATTAACTCTGGCAGAGTGGGCATAACTAATAGGGGTGGTTTCTGGCTGCAGGGTGGTTTCTGCCATGGTCTGAAAGAAGAGTAACAGCACTAGGTTTGTTCTTGGGAGCCAAGTGGCAGAGGATGCTTCAGGGACACCCAGCAGCTGTGCCCAGTACATGGCCACCAAGGGCAGGGACTGTCCCCTTGTTTCCTGGGCACAGGCACTGCCTCAGGGCCAGCACCCCAAAGCTCTTCCTCGGAAGGAGGTTGAGTGGAGAGGCAGCAGGCAAAGCTGTGCATGGGGTCTGCATCACCTCCATGTCACCTGGCAACGCAGGAGTCACAATGCCCCAGGAAAGGATAAGAGGGGGCATCCGCTTTTGTCGGCACACAGCTGGCCCAGGGGTGGCCCAAAGACACCTGAGAGGGAGTCCTTCAGGAGCAGGTAGAATTACTTGGGGTGGGTTGAGGGAGGAGGACCAGAGGCCAAACCAGGCTGCTGGAGATGAGAACTACCAGCAATGTTGGGAGGTCCATCAGCTATAAGATTGATCTTTGACAAAGTGATAGAATGTCTGCTTGTGGAGTTAACTTCTTGATGAGACTGCAGGATTGGTTGATAAAGGTCATATTTTTGATGTAGCAGGCTTGTTCCTGTAAGGCTTAGTGTTGCATGGCATCTTGATCGATTATCCAGAGTGATACAAAATCAACATGGCACTAATGAATTTAGGACTGATTAAAGTGACAAGTCCCAATAGTAATTATAAATAAGAAATCATTACTGAGTGATTGTATTTCTCATGACACCCTGCAGAGATCAGTTCTTTGGCCTCTACTGCTTAATGATTTTATCAATGTTTGGAAAGAAAGTCTAATATAAGTGATGAAGTTTGCAGTTAAGTTGAAAAGATTAACTGTTTGAGGGGTTTTGGTTATGAAGAGATCAAGTACTCACGATAGTTCTCTATTTCTGCATGTGCTATGGAATGCAGCCTATCAACAACTGAAATCAAGTAAGACAGTGGGTTCTCTGCAGATCTGTAAAGAGTAGTTTAAAATTAGATTTCTCTATATAGAGAGAGAATGGAGACTGTGGGTATTGCGCTTAAGCTCTGAAGCTCATTTCAATCTCTTTTCCATCTTTAAACATTGTAAGTGTAGCTACAGAGAATAATTCTGTTCTGCTTTGTTAATGGTCTGGAATGGCTCACTACAGGCTGCTGAATGCTGGAGCCAGCAAGAAAGAAGCAGTGTTGAAAGCACAGCAGAGAAAAGGAGTGCTGAGGGGGCCAGGACTGTGGTAACTGAACCCCACAGCTGCTCTTATGAAACTGTCTCTTTCCAGACGGTTCCTCAAAACCGTATCCACAATATGAAATATATAAATTTATAACTGTTTTATTTACTTGTGGGAATAATGGCATGCAATAGATGCATAACCTGGTGCTAACCTGGCTTTCACTGAAGGCAAAGTCAAGATCATGCATTCAGTCTGAAATGTGAGTAGGATAAGGCGCTATGGCGGTGTCCTCCATCCCAGGACTTCATGGGATGCTAGCAAGGTTTCAAGAGTTGTCTTCAGTTCATAGAAATCTCTGCTTGCAGAATCACTGCAGCTGTGTAGCTCTTGTAGCTGGCATTGTTGGACAACGTAGACCTGTCCAGTGGCACATAGGTACCCAGGGCCAGAAGCTGCTTACACATTTCTCAGGGGACCTGATTTTGTCCTTGTAAAAAGCTACAGCTGAGCATATGGCTGAAAAGATTAAGCTAAAGCACACTGATTATGATCTCATTTAGAAGCTCAACTTACATGATTTTTAAATCGCTCCACTTTCACACCAGTTCAACTACATTGGCTTCATTGAAGCTATTCCCTGAGAAAACAGACTGCGAATGCTATTTCTGGTTTTCACTGATAAGGTAATATGACTTATTACATAGAGCTCACTGATAAGGAAATATGACCTATTACATAGAGCTACACAACATGGTTTGATTTTCAGCAAAGCAGTTTTAGAGGCACATAATTTCCTGCGGTACCTACTTGTATGCTGTCTTTTGTATGCTGTCCATTATTTGCAGCAGTCTTTTTTTCTTTGTTTTTGTATAAAAAACTGGTGCAAAGAACAGCTTAAAATAACACTTTTGCTTTTGAGGATGGATTATTTTAATGGAGATAATTGCAATGACAAAGTGCTCCATAAGGGTTGTACCAGCCCATCTGGTAAGGAACAGGCTTCTGCACGAGAAAGGAAAGATAGGGCTGAGAGGACTGAGTAGCAGGAACTTTGTAAGTTGACTTCGCTACGAAAGGAAACATGGTAAAAGAATAGTCTCTATGTGCTTTCGCAATTTTAAAGTTGTTTTGCCCATTACTTTAATGACATCTCTGCTTGGTAATAGTGTAATGACTTGGATGTGTTAAAATTAACATTTTAGCTGTTAAAATTGATCTGCATCCCTATCATATCCCTCTGATTCCAAGCAGAAGCATTACATTACTCTCTTGTAGATAAAACGCTTGTAAGGTACCTTCAGTATAGAATTAATTTCAGGCTAATCTGGACAGAAAAAATCCTTCTGTGTGACTTTCAGTTTGAGAATAATGATTAGTGTAGCTCACAGTGACATTTCATGTTAAGCCCCTTGACTATGCTATTTAATCATATCAATTAGTGGGGTAAAACTGATGTATCAGGATGTCAACAGTTCTAAGTGGTAAGTAAGATAGCTGTTGTATAACTGCCAAATATTTCTCTGTGTTGAAAATAATATGTAAAAATTTATCTAGTGCTAAGTGATTTCATGAAGTGGTAGAGAAATTTTCCTGACTGATTATAAAATGTGAAAATATTTATACTTTGTGAATGAGAAAGACTGAAGATAACTGACATGTATCTTCTTCAAACAAATAACTTCTATTAATAATGTCAGACCCATCTAGCAGCTAATAGGAGATGATCACTTACTTTTACTTTTTGTCACTTGTCCTTGCCTTGGTATCTTATTGTTATTTAGCACTGGTGAAATATAGGCAGTGCTAAGATTGTCATAGTTACAGGTCATACATGGTATAGACATTTTATTCCTTCTTTCATGATATGAAAAGTGTAATTGCTTCAATATAGATATTATATATTATTATATGTTATGTATCATAGATGGTTATGTAAGATTCTAGCCTATTCTATTCTGATATG